CGGCTTTTGAGCAACCTTACTCTTCCAATGGACAGGCATGTCGGTGCTATCGGTCCTCTTGCCACCCTTCATATGAATAATATGATGAAGGTATATACCGTAATCATTGCATTTGTCATTTTCGTTTGTATATACCTATCATTTTCACTTACATATTTCGCATATTTTTATGGTATTAGTTTTTATTCTTCATTATACATTTGTTACTATAGCGCTGAATTGCACATGTCTTGCCCTTATTTAGGCTGTTATGTCTGGTACTGAGCTTGTAGAGATGTATCGGTATTACCAAGAGAAACATCATCAATCCTCTACCAGCCAGAATGCGCTGAAAACGGCTTTAGATAATGCTGACAAGGCTTTGAAGAAGCTGAAGGAAATTAAGGCAAAAGATGACCTTGAGATGACTGCTCTTAGGACCAAAGCTGATAAAGTCGAAGGTCTTGAGCTGGAGATTCAACAACTTAAGACTCAAATTACTAAGAAGAATCAGGCCATCGAGCGCCTCTCTACCCTTGAGAGGGATCTCAATGATGCTAAGGTTTACATCAACAACCTTGAAAACAAAGTTCAAAGGTTGGAGGTTGATAAACCTGGAGTCCGACAGAGAGCAGTTAGTCGTTATCTAGTTTCCTAGGAATTTTGCAGTCGGCTTCAAGACCGCTTTGACGGAGGGTGGACTGCTGCGCAGAGATGTATCGTCCATGCCGCCGGTTGGAAGAAAGAGGACTGGGCTAAAGTCGAAAAGGCTTTTAATGAGGAGGCTTTCAAGATTCCTTCAGGTTTTGAAGAGCAAAATTTTTCGGATGAAGACATTTTCAATATGGAGCCCAGTGGTGATGACGACATTAAGGATCCCAGCATACTGAACTCCCCAGCTCCCGAAGATATACAAGCTTGAAGGGGCGGGCAATCATCACCGACATCTTCCTGTGGTTCTAGCATAATTGGGCCTTATCAGCTATAGCCTAACATATGTAACCTTTTTACTTTTGTTCAGAACTGTTTTTGACAATGTTGTTTTATCGGCATATACCCTTTTTTGTGGTGATGCCTGTCGATTGTCATCTTTAATTATTATGAACATACTCACTTGCACCTTTATCTATTATGCTGTTTTTAATTATTCATTTCTTACTATCTTTGTTAGAAAGATTCTTGTTAAAATTTCAGCCAAAAATTTCTTGTTATTTCCTGCTATTTTGCGAAATTCTACTCATATCAATCTCTTTTCTTTAGTAATCTAGTAACCTTAGCGGCCATTGACTGCCACCTTCGTACTGTGCTTTAAACCTATCTCAACATATCTTGCCCCTCCTCTTTTGTGCATATAGTTGTTACTCAAGTATATGCATTAGGGCAGAGATAATGTTTCTAGTTCAGAGTACAATATCGGTCACCTACTGCTTTGTTTTCTTAGCCAGTCAGGTACCCTCTCGGCGATCTGTTGGTTATGCATTCCGTGGCATATACCTAAACCAATTTTGCCGGTATTATATTTTGAACCAACAACCTCGCGAATTAATGGTTACAACTGATCAGGTTATAAGCACATTAATTTTACGGTAGTGGTTTTTAGCTGTCCGTCCCACTTAACGGTGGTCTGTTAAGTGGAGGATGCCTATTTCAAACACAAGTTTTCTGAATAGTATTTTATTTATAATGGTTCTCCCTGAGACAATATCAGCCTCTTTGTTTACAAAAAGATTTTACATATAATATTTTTTTAGTACTGCCGCATTCCATACATTTTTCAAAGGTTTCCCATCCATCGTTTCTAAGTAATAAGAACCTTGCATCACTGTATCCTTGATTCGATACGGTCCTTCCCAGTTACCCGTCAACTTTCCATTTTCATTCCCTTTTCCAGTCGCTGCTGTTCTCCGCAACACCAAATCCCCCGTACCTAAAGGGCGATATGCTACTCGTTTGTTATAAGCTCTTGACATTCTATCTTTGTAGGCAGCTGATTTGACTGCAGCCTTTTCCCGTATTTCTGGCAGAAAATCCAATTACTAACGCAACAACAAATCGTTTTGATCTTCACAAAAATGCTGGATTCTGAATGTCGGCAATCCGACTTCTGCTGGTACCACGGCTTCCGTCCCGAATACTAATGTGAAAGGTGACTACCCTGTTGATTCTCTAACGGTTGTTCTGTTTGCCCAAAGTATTTCTGGTACCAAGTCAGCCCACAAACCCTTTGCATCTTCAATCTTCTTTTTTATTGCCGCAATGATCTACTTATTAGCAGCTTCAGCCTGTCCGTTCGACTGTGGATGGCAGACTGCCGCATACGCAAACTTAACTTTGAATCTCGCTAAAATTTCTTTAACTGGCTTGCAATCAAATTTTGAGCCATGATAAAAAATCATCGCCATCGGCAATCCACATCTAGTAAAAATATTTTTCCAGATAAAATTTTTCACCTCTGACGCTGATATCTTTGCTACTGGCTCTGCTTCTATCCATTTCGTGAAGTAATCAACACCTACGATCAAGAACTTTCTTCCTCCTGTTGCTGACGGGAATGCTCCTACAATATCCATCCCCCATTGAGCGAAGGGACCGGATAAAGCATTGGCGTTAGGTCATTAGGGGGTAAGTTGATTGCAGGTGCAAACTTCTGGCATTTTTCACATTTTTTCACATATCTGACTGCATCTTCATTCATGGTTGGCCAGTAATACCCCCTTCTCATAGCCTCTCGCGACAAAGCTCTTACCCCAAGATGATTGCCACAAGTGCCTTCATGTATCTTTTCTATCAGCCTGGCAGATTCAGAATCCGTTATGCACCTTTGCAATGGAAATGAAAATCCTCTCTTGTACAATTGACCTTGGTGCATAATAAACCATACGCTATCTTTTCGTAACTTCTTTGACTCCCCCTTATCAAGCGGTAATGCCCCATACAAGAGATATGCCAAAATTTTGTCGAACCACTGAGTGCCATTACTTATACATAGTACCTTTGGTGACTCTTCATGTATATTCTTTTGCTTTAAGACCTCAACCATGACAGTTCTTTCTAGGTCATTAAAGCTTGAACTCGCTAATCTTGCCAATGCATCAGCCTGTGAATTCTGTATTCTTGGTATCAACCTTATTTCAAAATACTGCAGCTGTGCTGTTAACTTCTTCATCTTTTCAAGATACTTTATCATTGTTGGTTCTCTCATTTCATATTCTCCGGTGTATTGACTGGAGACTAGCTGAGAATCAGTCGTTAGAATCAGCCGCTTTGCTTCTGCAGCTATTGACAATTGAACTCCAGCTATTGCAGCTTCATACTCAGCCTCATTATTAGTGGCCTTGAACTTGAACTTTATTGCATATTCAAAAACCTTTTCATCTGGGGCCGTTATAGCTATTCCTGCCCCTGAACCAGCTGATGTTATAGATCCATCTACTGAAACCTGCCGCATCATAAGCTGATAATAAATACCTCATATATGAAAGCAATTTTATATCTTAAACATTATATGTAAAAGAAAAACCATAAATCATTTATATATCATGAACTCTTAAACTCTAAACCATAAAAACCTGCCAGGTGCCCAATTCCTCCTCTTCATCAGTGTATGATGTTTCCACAATGAAATCGGATAGAGCTTGTGCCTTTATTGAAACTCTGGGTTTATTCTGACAACTCTACTGCCCATGTTAGTAATCGGCCCGACGTATCCATCCTTTGCAATGAATTATCCAATGGATGGTTCGTTAGAACATCTATAGGATGAGCATCAAAATACGACCTCAATTTTCTTGCCGTCATTACCACTACCAGCGCCATTTTTTCAATTACTGAATACCTACGCTCTGCCGCGTTTAACACATGACTAACAAAATATATCAGCATCTGCTGTCTTTTTCTTTCAACTAGCAACACTGCTGCAGTAGTTTTTGGAGAGGCTGAGATGTAAAGTTGCAATAATTCACCCCTCTCCGGTCTTGCTACTGTCGGGAGTAATCTCAGATGGTTCCTAACTACCTTCAGTGCATCGCTTTGCTCTTTTCCCCATTCAAATGTTTTATTTTTTCGCAAAACCATAAAGAATGGTAGGGCCTTATCAGCCGACTTGCTTATAAACCGGGTTAATCCTGCCATTCACCCAGTTAATCTCTGTATGTCCCGAATAGTCTTTGGTTGCTTCATTTCTAATACTGCATTCACCTTATCAGGATTCGCATCAATTCCCCGTTCACTGACCATGAAGCCCAAAAACTTCCCGGACCGAACTCCGAACACACACTTTTTAGGATTCAATTTCATCTGATATCTTCGCAGTGTTTCAAATGTTTCTTTCAAGTCTGCTATGTGGTCTTCTTTTTTCTTACTCTTCACAATCGTATCATCCACATACACCTCCACATTCCGCCCTTTTTGCTTTTCAAAGATTTTATCCACCAACTTCTGATATGTAGCTCCCGCATTTTTTAACCCAAACGGCATTGCTTTGTAACAATACACTCCAGCATCCGTTATAAAGGTTGTCTTGGCTCTATCAGTGTGATGGAGGCTGACATGATGATATCCCGAGAATGCATCTAAAAAGCTTAACATTGCATGGCCAGAAGTAGAGTCTATAGCCAATCTATACGGGGCAGTGGATAACAATCCTTTGGACAAGCTTTATTTAAATCAGTGAAGTCTACACACATCCGCCACTTTCCAGTCGGTTTCCTTACCATCACAACATTCTCTAACCACTCCGGATAAGTACATGGTTCAATAAACCCTGCTGCCAAGAGCTTGTTGACCTCTTCTTGTATAGCCTCTATCTTCTCAGTTGAGAAATTACGCTTCTTTTTCCTTATCGGCCTGAACTTCCTATCCACATTCAGCTTATGCTCCATCACCCCTGGATGTATTCCCGGCATTTCACTCACCGAGAATGCAAAAACATCTGCATTCTCACGCAATAGACTTATTAAATGACACCTCATATCCACATCCATATCCGCCCCAACCTTAACCGTCCGACTTGAATTCCCTGGCTATAACTCAACCTGCACTGTTTCTCCACCTGGCAACGGCCTTGGAACCTCCTCTGGCCTTGTATCAAAATTTTTCATGGCTAAATCTTGCACTTTCGGTTCTTGTTCTTTCCTTGGGTTATTCGGTATTGAACTATTTTCAACTGTGTTTTTCAGAGCCGTTACATAACAGGACTTTGCCATCACCTGGCCCCCATGAACCTTTTCAACTGCCCCCAAATTTGACACGTAGGCTATGGTGAGATGATAAGTTGACACAACTGCCTGCACATCATGGATTATCGGGCTGCCGATAATTGCATTGTACGCCGATGACACATCAACCACCAAGAACTCTGCCATCATATCCCTTGCCTTCAGCCCATCACCCAATCTGACAGGTAAAACTATACTTCTTTCTGGCCTCACTGTCGATCCATTGAACCCAATGACAGGATAATACACTAGTGTCAGATACTGCCTTCCTATCTTCATCTCAGTGAAAGCCCTCATAAACAGCACATTTGCTGAGCTGCCTCCATCAACCAGAACCCTTTTGTTGTCGGCCCCATTGATCTTTGTTATAAGAACCAACAGATCATCATGTGGGAAAACAATTCCCTTTTCATCTTCCTCTGTGAACACCACGTCAGGAATTGAAGCGGGCCGAGGGCGGCTATCCACATCTAGGGCATACACCAGATGACGGTGCTCTGATAAGTGTTTCTTAGCACCACTGACCGTTCCTCCGTGAACAGGTCCCCCCGTTATTACATCTACTCTCCCTATGGATAGCGGCGACATCCCTCCGTCCCCCTGCCGGACTATTGTTCCTTGTGGCCTTTCCGGCCTTGCTTCTAACTGCTGCCTTTCAATCTGGCGGGGTTGCTGTTGACCTCCTCCTACATTTAACCGATATTGAGCTAAGTGCCCCTTTCTTATCAACTCCTCAATGTTATCCTTCAATTGTGTACACTCTTCAGTATAATGACCCACGTCTCTATGAAACATGCAATACTTCTTAACGTCCCTCGGTCTGGCCTTCATAGGAATCGGCCTCGTCCATCCTTCTTTGTTCTGATTGACCGAGAAGATTGCCGCTCTAGGTGTATTTAACAGTGTATATGAACTGTACCGCATCGGCGGTTTTGCAGCCCTAACTTCCTGCCGACTTCCCCCTCCTCTGCTTTGGGTCGAAGTTCTCGGCCTTCCACTTTCTGAAGCTGCACTCTCAAATTGAAACTGACCCTTACCAGTGGTCACACTCCTACTACTTTTCTTCATCAGCTCCTCGCTCTTGATGTAATCATGAGCCTTGTTAAAGGCGGCTGCCAGCGTCGAGAAGTTCTTTCGTGTAAGATAACGCTTGAACTCGGAATCGTTCAGGCCATTCATAAGAGCCATTACCGCTATCTCTTGTTGCAACTTTGGAATTGTGTTTGCCTCGTTGTTGAACCGCCTGATATAATCCCTCAAAGACTCATCTTCCCTTTGCTCTACTGCCATCAATTCCCCTGATGTTCTCTGCCGCAAACTGTTGCTAACATACTGCCCTATAAACATCTCGGACAACTTTTCGAAACTATCTATCATCCCATTTTCCAGATCGTTGAACCAATCAGATGCAACCCCAATTAATGTAGTCGGAAAGACCTTGCACCACACAACATCTGAATTTGTGTAAAGCATTATATGCCCCTCGTATGACATTATGAATCTACCCGGGTCTCCTCTTCCGTCATAACTACATGTCGGCATCTTAATCTTTTCCATCGGCTTATCCAAGATGCTTTGCGCAAATGGTGATGCTCTTAATTGTACCACAGTTTGCGGTACCTGCCTTCAACCTGGGAACTCCTCTGCTGATGGGTTCTTGTGATAACAGTACGACTTGACGATTGCCCCTCTATGTGACGCGGTGTGGTATGTGTCCTTACCGACGTTTCTTCTCGGCTGTGCCTTGGTGAATTCATTGCTTGATTGGACTGTTCACCATGATTAGCTAGCGGCACCCCCCTTCTGTCTGAGCCATTTCGACCTCTTTTCTTTTTTTGCTCATTGCGGTCATTACTCTCGCTGCTACTTGCAATTCTTCTGGCGTAAACTCCGCCATGGGATCTACTGTCGTTCCCACTTGCCTCTCCGGGGTTAACAACATGTGGAACTGAGTTTCCTCCAATGTATGTGTTTCGTCTTCTACCTCAATTTCTGGCTGTGTTATAATCGGTCGGTTTACCGTTTTGCTTATTATCGGTGTTGCATTGTTTTCGGCCATAACTATCGTTACTTTTGTGTGTTAGGTTCTTAGGCGATAGAAGTAATCACTAGTCCCCTCCTTCCAGCGCCAAATTGTTTATGTCTGGATCCGATAGCTCGTGAACCCGAACCCGAGATCCTGATACTCCTATCGGCAAGTTGAGAACCTACACAATGAGCAGAAGTTAGCTAACCCCGGGGTGATCCGGGGATAACCACTCCGATGACAAAGTTAGAATGTGTTTAAGAGAAGGTAAGTAAGAGAGAGAAAGTAGAGAGAGAGAGAGTAATTAATGCCCCTCATTAATGAGGTTTAACCTACTATTTATAGTGAACAACAAGACAGGTGGCTACAAAGCATGCAAAGCCTTTCTCGCCAAGTGTCAAACCATTGTTGTCACGTGTCGAATATCGACAGGCCGATATGTCTACTTTGTGGAACATATCAGCCTATTTACCAGCTGAACCAGACTAAGGTCCATATTATGAAAGATGTCAGCCCGTTTCACATATCTTCCCATACAACTATCACTAAGCTAGCTAATTCCTTATAGTTGCATGAAAAAAATATCTAAAATCAAAGAAGATAATGTTGAGTACCACAATTGTTATCCAACCAAAAACTCACTTTAAGGCAGCTTTAGTTTCATGTATATCGCTAAGAACTAAAATACTACAATGAAGTATATTTTAAAAAGCATATTACGTATTAAAATAAAAGACTAATGAAAAGTTTACATAAAGTCTTAAAGTATTAGTCCTTATTTATGGGGCTGGAAAGTATAAATTAATTAAAAATATAGTTAGAAAGCAAGTAAAGATAATAATAATAGTGATTTGTAACAAAAGCACAAAGATTACGTACAATGTAGGCGTACCATGTATGTGTTCATCCAACAGCCTGCAAATATCTCATACGCGGCATACTATTAGTATTTTTGAATTGATTTTTCAAATCTTAGCTAGCTTTCTCCCTTGTTTAACATTGAATTTGAAAGCTAACTTAGCTGTTAACATATTCAATAATTATAAATTTTAATTATAAACTTTTTTTTTGACAACAATTATATACTTTGTATTTGGGATTCAAGTCTTAATAACAATATTAAAATTTAGTATAAGAAAGTATATATATGAACTTGTACTTGTGCAAATCCAATCATGTATCTAGGTTGTTAGATATACATATATATTATTGTGAGTATAAGTACATGCATGTTAGAATATGATTTGAATCAATTAGCAGTTTAGCACCCTTTGATGACTATATGACATTATGCAAGAGTCTTGCTAACCGGTTAGTGAGACAGGGTCCAGAGAGGGCGTGCCTTGCTAGTTAGAAAGTTCGGGGGCGCAATGTAGCTACTTGTAAGGGTTTCAGAGCTGACACCCCCAAAATTTTTAATAGTTATTAGGAAATTTTTACTTTTACTACCAGTAAAACACACGTGTTTTACTTTTGTTATCGGGAAAATTTTTAATTTTATTTTACTACTATATAAAAACAAGTTTGTTAAAAACTGCTACCACTTAACGGAATCCGCTGTTAAGTTTATTCAAAAATATTTTTAATTAAAAATTAAAAGAAAATTAAAAGAAAAATCCAACCACCACCCTCAACTACCCAACTTCCTCCGTCCTGTCAGCCACCCCCCTGTCGGTGGCCGGCGCCCAAAGCTTCGGCCGGCGCCGGATTGGAAATCCCAGCCCCTCCCTTTTCCCCACCTACGCACGCAGCCCAGCCCCTCCCTTTCCCCCTTCTTACCGCCCGACCCCAACCCCGAACCGAAAACCACCTCCCTCTGTATTCGCCCCATAGGAATCGACCCCCTCCCCATTCCCGCAACCGGAATCAAACCGCTCTCCCCTTTCCCTACCCTTTTCGGCCACTCTAACCCTAAACCATCATAAGAGAATTGAAACCCTAAACCCCTTTAGGGTGGTTTTGGGTTAGTGGTTTTGGTTTAGAGGTGCCGATTCTTGGTGCTCGGGAGTGGCGCTACTTGTTCGGAGGGAGGAGCAGCAGTAGTAGCGGCGCATTTTGGAAATGTTGTGAGAGGTTGAAGGTGAGTAATGGTAGTGCGGTGGGAAGAGCTATTGTGGGTAATTTAGAGGAGGAAGGGATGGTATGATGGTTGAAAGGTTGGGTTAGGGTCGCGACGGTGGAGGAAAAGTGAGGGGGAGTGGGGTCGCCGACGCCGGGCGATGCTTTGGGCGCTGATCACCGGCAAGGGGGAGGGGGTTGCGGGGTAGTGATGGTGGCTAGGGGTTTTTATTTTTTATTTTTTTATGGTGGGCCGAAGGTGGATGGCGGGGTGGCAGTGAGGGTGTCTAAGGAGGGAGGGGTGGTAGTGAAGGTTGTTAGATCTCACTAACGAAAATAGTAACTAAAAGTGTTAAGTGGTAGCAATTTTTAACAAACTTGTTTTTGTATGGTAGCAAAATAAAATTAAAATTTTCCTCGGTAGTAAAAGTGAAACACGTGTGTTATACTGGTAGCAAAAGTGAAAATTTCCTAGTTATTATGTTGGATATATATGGTTTTTCGTTTTGGGCTGATTTTAGGCATTGTTGAGGTGAATATTGTTCTTTACCAACAAGTAAATACCCTATCTTGTTAAGAGTATTAAGACGTTGCCCATATTGTCACTGGTTTCAAAGGATTGATAATCTCTCTAACGTAACATAACAAAATAGCATAGTAGCTAGTTATCCTCAAAGAAGTTGAACAAGTTAGATTGCTAATGAAACAAATAGATGGACGTATGACAAAAGATGAAAATGCCCCATTAATTGAGAGATAAAGTCAAGACTATAATTGTACAAGTCGAATGAAAGGTTACTCCATATATACAATTGGAAGGAGTGTTTGATGTTTAATACATAAGGAATTAAACTACTCTTGGCTACAAAGCCAAAGAAAAACTAAGAAAGCTTAAAGAAAATGAAATGCTTTTGTTGATTGCTTTGTTGATACTTCTTTCATGGAAATCTTCCTCTATTTATAAGCAATTGACTTGTGATTTTCCACTTTTCATTTTCATAACCTCTGCTTGGTTATAACACTAGTTTGGCGCCAGTTCTCTTTAAACACTCTTAATTGCTCAAACCAGTCTTGTCTCACCTCTTGGGCTTCCTCTTTTGGGCTTTGTTATTTATCCACCTTTTCTTATCGTCGGGCCACGTCACTCTCATAGAATAACACTTTTCTGAAATCAAGTGCATAAAAAAAAAAAAAACAAAAAAATCCGGAATTTTAATTTTGGGTGTAATAGGCTTACTCAATTTCGTTTAAGATTTTGGGAGTACTGTATAAACTTCCTTACGATTTAACATACCATTATTGTTCCATAATCCGTGTTTTTCAAGATCAATAAATCTCTCCTCTCATTATTGTTCCATAATCCGTGTTTTTCAAGATCAATAAATCACTCCTCTGTCTTCTCTCCCGTGCATGGATGTTGTTGATTTCTTTAATCTTACTTGCACCCATTATAACAATATATTTATGCATTTTAATATTTTATTTTTCTATATAGCACTTCATCACTTACATAAAATTTCTTTTTTTCTAAATGTAGTAATTTCTCAATCTATTAAATTAATTTCTCTATTAACTCTAAGTTTTTAAAAATTCTATACGTTAGAAAATAGAGAAATATACATTTTATGACATAGCTTGTACGGTTGCACCATATTAATTTAAATGGGGTAAACAAAAAATAGAAATGGAGGAACTACTCTAGAATTCAAGGTGTTACATACCTTATGGACGAGGCCAAATGACGAGGTTACGAAAAAGGTCACTTTTCCTTTTAGACGTGTACTACTTTTTGATATCACCGCACTCGACCTCTTCATGCCATACAAGATACATTACAAGTTTTACCTCTTCATTTTAGAGATATTTTTTGATAAAAATAAATTTTACATTAATAATCTTTTTTTTTTCAATTTTAATTTCCTTCTAATAATGCTCATTATTTTTTCTTCAAATGTACAACTTGAATAAAATAATCTTTGTCGAAACAAAAAAAAAAAAAAAACTTGTCCATCTAATTACTCTGAGATTCTTTGTTAATCTTTACCAATTAGCTAGTTTTAATTTAATTTTTGGGTGCACTACAATGTTTAACTTTCTTAAGAATATGTATGTACATATATTTGAAGTGTAAAACAGTATAATTATTCTATAATAAGCATATTAGTTTCTAAGAATTATATAGATTGAGAAAAAAATGTAGCTGTTATTGACCCCATGATCGAGTAGTTTTCATTATTCTACACCCGAGTGTAATTTTACAACTTAATATTCACACAAAATAAAAGCTTTTTTAGAACTTTAAGTTGGATAATATTAGTGCATAATTATGAAATGCATGTATATAGAAAAGATCATGGAGAATTTGACACTGAAAAATAGAAAAAATGAAGTACTTATTATTAATTAAAACTACAATTAGTTCATAATAAATACACAATTATAAACAATTAAACACAAGCAGTACTATCAGTAG